GCCATGTGATTGGCTGCTTAGAAATTAAGTTTAACGAGCTGTTGGACAGGTGTACCTAATAAAGTGGCCGGTGAGTGTATCTATCTATAGTTTTTGAGGCGGACCAGAGCTCGCTTTTTTGGTCCGCATCAGAGTTTGATGGCGTATTTATACCTTTTCTACCCAAACAAACTACAGTTTCATTAGAGTGGACTTGTGTGAATACATCCTATGTCCTGCAGTTCTTGCGAAATTCCTGCAAAAAGTACTGTTACCATGGCGGCGCTTCAAGGCAGCGGCCAAGAGCAGCTCCTCTCGACAATTTCACAAAATATGCTGCTTAAAAGATACAAACTAGACATCAAACCCGCATCTATGATTACCAACGCCTGCTGGAGCTACCGTCACAAAATGTTTTCAATACTGACATTTTTGACTGTTTAAAAAGCTGCGGAGTGCTACGGACGATAGACGACGCATCGTCTGTTGCTTCAACCACATCAGGCTCTTTGACCCAGGGGGCTACCACCCTCACAGCATCGTCATCATCGTCCTCTTCCTCCCCTGAGCCCGGAGAAGAGAGTGCTTGAGGAGCTGGAGGCAGTAGTAGCAGCTCAACAACAAGTTTTGCTTACCTTATCAAGGCTGCACTTTAAAAAATGAAATTGTCTAGAGAGCTGTTTTAAACTAAATTTCTTTTTGTCAACACTTGTGTATACAAAATGACAAAATAAATCTGTCTAAGTCTAATTTGACTGGGTCAGATTAACAAAAGTAAATAAAAGACGGGAGAGTGAGAAGCTGCTGTTTCCTGTACTGTCCCTTTTGTTTTTTTGTTTTTGTGAGGCTCAAAGAGGATCACTATTTTACTTCTTTATACCCGAGTCAGCCCAGCCTGTAAAATACGTGCTGTGCGATTCCAAATTTGATTTTCTTTCAGATTGGAAGCAAAATCCTGTTCAATGTGTTCAGAGTTTAAGCAGACACTGCCGCTCCCTCCATTAGCTATCCACGTTAAATTATTCTTTATTTTAAGGTTAAATTGATTGTTCAAAATGAGTTAACATTGTGTCACTTTTATAATGTCAATCCACAAAGGAAAAGCTTGAAAATTAAAAACTATCAAAACAGAAACATTGGCAGTAAAAATCATGGATCGGTTACACTGGAATAAAAAAACGTTTTGGTCGATCCTTCCTTTTGCATTTCTCGAGGACGCCCAAAAATCTTGTTCAGTATCAAGTCCTTCCAGATATAAAGGTTTTAACCTCTGGTTGTCTTCCAGGGACTATTTTCCAGTCAATCCACATGGGTTACCATCGGTTCAGCCAATAACGTCCTTAGACCTTGAACAGCCTCTTTAAGGTGTGTAAGTTGTGTTACTCCAACAGGTTGCTGGCTGGTCCCCATCCAGCAATCACTGCTCTAGAGATATTGTGCAAGTCTAACTGCCAGCCCACAATGCCTGGATGTTGTTTAACCAGTTCTTTACATTTGGAAACCACCTAGGATGAATAACTTTATCGTCCAATCACCGTTTAATCTACAAGACATAACAAAGCCGGCAAGCTCATCTACTTTTCTAATGAGACTCGCATTAAAATTGGTTTTGTCTGAAACTGAAACAATTATCTAAAGTAAATTCCCAATTTACTCTTCCTAAAAAAACATTTGTGCTGTGTTTATAACTTGGATATATACATAAATACCAAATTTAGTTTATAATTGCTTTCTTTCTCACATTATTTGAAGCATTTTTACCCATTTACACTTGCAGAACTCCACAGAATGTCCAAATCTGGGTTGGTCTCTGGGTGGTCGGGATCAGGTTTGGATGTTCCGACTAAATTCTGTTCCTCTGAAGAAATAAGTTGGGTCTTTTTATGGAATACCACTGGTGCTATTTCTTGTTTAGCTACCTTTTTGTTCTCCCTACAATCGACGTTGAGCAATGTCAACAATGTTGTTACGTTGAACAAAGGCTCAGAAACAAAAGCAGACTCAGACTATTTTCCTATAGAGGCCTTGTGTGGATTTGCTTTGTTCCAATCTATTCTGTTAGTTGGGGATATTTAAGAGAGCCGCAGGTTAGTTTATGTGAAACTTTTTTAAAATATGAACAATTTATCATTGGATAATTTGTTATGTTGGAATGCCTTATAAAGCCCTTATTCATGTCTCACCTTATCTTGATTTGCAGCCTTATTCACAGCTATTTGCAACACAAAAGTCTCTGATATCAGTGCTTAATTGGGGAAAAAAAACTACTAAATGCTAATGTTCAAATTCCCTTTCAGTCTCCGGGGATTCATTTTATGGATTTGGTTGCATTTTATAATATGACGTTGAAATAATGATCAAGTAACTGTTGGGGTGCACTTCTGTAATTGATTTTAAACATGTTACAGAAGACTCTGGCATTGATAAACATGTTGACATTTGCAGAGATGTTTTCAAATAAAGGTTTTTGTGACATTACTACATTCTGATTTTTGTTGGGTGTTTTTTTTATGTTCATATTGACTTGAAATTAGGGTTAATATTGCATCATTGGTAGCACAAGTATTGACAAGTGTGTGAAAAAAAAGTTACCCTCAAAAAAGAGAATATATATATATCTAAGAATCTAATCATAACAGGAAAGGTTGTGTAGGAAGAAGAGGAAATAGTCAAACCAAAAGTTCAAAAAGAAAAAAAAAAAAAAAACACCCACACGCTTAAACTTGCAAAAATGAAATGTTGTCAAAGAACTTCATAGAACAGACAGAAAAAAATGAATGGACCCCAAAAAAAACATGTTTGATGTGAAAATGTGGCCTTTTTCTATAAGGCTCCGAGAGCTATGCAGGATGAGGATTAAGAGCTTATGTGTTTCTGATGTACAATCAAAATCATAATGTGGAGTGTTTTTCTTCAATTTCTGTAGATTTTTCCTTAAAATAAAAGGTACAAATGCAGAAAAGCATTGTCCTCTGTAGAGAAGGATAGCTGCAGACTTGTAAGCACCCATGGCAGCATGACATCTAAAAAAAAGCACATCAGGTCTCTTTTTTCCAAACTGAAAACTGTTTGCTTCAGTATTTCAACTGGATAATGATCCTAAACCTATAGCAGAATAGACAGAAAAGGTTCAGCAGACACAAAATGACATCATCAGAGCAAAGTCCTACAGGACACCAGGGGTAAAATGAAGACAGTATAACAGATGACCCAGGAGGATCTACAGAGAATATATAAAAGCAATGGTCAAAGATCCCTCCATGTTGTTAAATGTTATAGAAGAAAATCTGCTGTCCTTTTTTTTTAATAAAACGGTGCATTACAATGTGTTGACAGCATTCCTATGGAGTTATTTTTACAGTTTAAGTCTTGCGAAACAAATGCATTGAAACTAGATTTCAGGGTGAGATCGTACAACTGTAATAACTGTGTAATAATTGCAGTGGGTACATTTTGCTTTGGTGTTGTTTCAAATTTACCAGAAGACATAGACAGATTAATAGCTTTTTGAATGAGCAGTTCTAGAAAAGGGCAGATAGTCCTGACCCCTATTAGGGTCCCTTTTCTGAAAACATACACTGCAAAAAGTTTTTCTTGCAAAGTGTTTTCCCTTGATTTAAGGTAAGTTGCAGATGGAATAAGATCCTTTATTTCTTTTAAATGTATAGAATTTAATTTCATTAGAGCAAAAATACTCATTGGTAATCATTTTATCTACACTGATTTTATAAATATTTATTTGTTTTAGATCAGTTTTTACAGTGTAACACCAAATCGTTTTCTAATGATGATATAAATTAACAGAAGAGAGTAAAACTGATTTGTCCGTGAGACTAATTTCAAATTTTGCCTTTAAATTTTACTATAAATGTTTTAGGTTTTTTAAGATACAGTCAGCTTCGACTGTAATAAGATGGTATCACAGAATTCATCTGTTAGATCAGGGGTCTGCAGCCTTGGCTTTGTGGAGGATTTTCGCAAATCTTTTAAAAGACTCGCCCTCTCCACGCGTGTGCTTTTTCACATAACTCCTCCACCACCCGATGCCTGCGCCATCTTTGTTATTAGTCACCGCTGTCAGGTAGCGACAGCCTATGGCAAGAGCGGGCTGCTGTGACATCAAATCCTGTATTACTTTGCAAGGAGAACTCTCTGTGCAAAGCATTCTGGGATATATCTGCATCTTCTGAGGCCTTTCTTTTCTTCTCATGCACTTCGTAGAGTTTTTCTCTTACGAGCCTCGGCCATTTTCAAAGAACCGCGGTAAGAAAGGACTACTTATTTAAATGATCCACACGGATCTATACCTTTAATATACTAAACAATTGCCCTAGATCAGAGGTCTTCAACAGGGGGTCCGCGACCCCTAGGGGGTCCACGGAGGTACTGCATGGGGGTCCCCTGCAATTCTTTCCACTTGTTGAAATGTCTTTGAAATCGACATTAAGATGAATTCAACACACAGTAAATGGATAAATGGAGGCAGAAGATGTCTTTCAGTCATCAATGCACACATTCAGCGACACACAGGAGCTCTTTGAAACTGGGCACCATTTCATTCACAACACCTGTCCCATCAATGAGGAATCAGAAATACTTTAATAATCCCAGGGGAAAATTACTTTCCTTACATTACTCCATATTTAATAGAGTGACTATAGGAACATTTAATATAACAATTTCATAAGATATATATAATTAGGGGGTCCCCGCTCGAACGCCATCGGTTTGGGGTCCTTGGCCTGGAAGCATTGAAGACCCCTGCCCCAGATTTTATTTTTGTTTTTATTTTTTTAATTTCTTTTACATCTTTATGTTCTGTTCCCCCATGAAAAAAAAAAAAAAAACACTGCCCCCATACTGGCCCCCCTGGCAAATCTCATCTAGAACCGCCCCTGGCTTTATGCCGGTTAAAAATCATTGAACAGATTCTTTATGGACACGCTTAAAAACAGGAAATGTTTAGAATAATGGTTACACTAGCTGCAATCCATGTTACAGATGGTTAGGTAGAGAGAGACCTACCTGTCCTCAGATACGCTGATCACACCGTCTTCTTTGGGGATGATCGCCGCCGCGGTAACAACCTCCTGGAAAGCCTCGATTTTACTCAGCAAGCACGGCTTCCTAGCCTTTGGACGAGGCTGGATTTCCGCCGCCATGGTGGAGAGAAGTGGGGTACGGACCTCCGCCTCCTTAGCGTCTCAGGGACACATAACCCGCGGTAGTCCCGTAGCAGAGCCTCGGTGAAGCAGCTACTACATGTAGCTGTCAGGCAGAACCGACAGTGTTGTGACTTCGCTGAAAGGTACGGTCATGTCAGCTGACAACACAAGCACATACGCCCACCGTACGGCAGGTCACACACACCCCTCATTTCCTGTCTACAAAATAAAACTTCCGCTTCAGTCTACCGGTTGAAATTTCAAAATAAAGACTCGATTAAAGCCAAACATGCATATTTCCCTTAGCAAAAAGTAGCTTATTCAAGTATACTAAAAGTGCACTAATTTCATACTTAAAATCAGGCAGTGCATTTAAGAGTTTACTTATTTTAAACTATATTTCATGTACTTAATAGTGAAGTGTACTTGACTATACTATTGTTTACTTTACTGTTTACTAATATACTTTAAGTATACTTTAGTAAACTTAAAAATGACCCAATTTAGGTCGAAAAAGTATTACTTTAGTAATACTTCAAGTAAACTAAAAGTACATTGTTCAGTATACTTTCTACACTTATACTTATACTTAAGTTTTCCTATTAGAATTTACTTCAAGTATACTACTTTTTGCTAAGGGATTGTATCTTTATATATTCTCCACCGCCTTTTACCCTTTAAAATGTCAGCCAAGATTGTCGTAAATTATATATACTGAGGTGGTACTTGTGAAAATTTAGAAATCCATTGTAGTTTGGGTGCAACCATCCCTCCTCTTTCTGAAAAAAAGATTTTTGACCAAAAATATTTAGTCTACGAGCTATTAAAGTAGTTACTTTTTTCTCAGCATTCTGACTTTTATCTTAGAATTCCTACTCTTTTCTTAGCATTCTGACTTTAATCTCAGAATTCTGACCTTAATCTCAGAATTCATATCACGTGACCATATTTAACTGAAAATTTTTTTTTTAAAATCAGTTCACTTTTTAAAAATTTTTCAGTGGCCCTAATCTTCTCCCGTAAACCTGTGATTCAGTGGCTGAAGATTTCTTTTTCCATTAGGTGTGTCATTAGTTTCCAGCAGGGGGCAGGCTTTATTCTGATAGGAAATGCTTCTTTTTTTTCAGAACTAATTTCATGCATCCACCTTAATTGGTTGATTGCATAGAGGCAACATTTATTCAGGTTGTACAGTTTTCTCATGTGTTTGTAATAGAAAACCCTCAAAGGCAGCACTGAGCTTTATGTCCAAGTAACAAAATAATTGTGCCACACATAACATGTGATTAAGCACAAAACTAAAATCAAAAATAATTAGAGTAAACTGAACTTTGATT